CAACCGCACAAACCCCCACGCGAGAGTGGTGGCGAGGATATTTTGGGGGTCAAAAATCCAAATCTTAAAGTTGCCAAGGTTGAGAAACACTGGCATAGATTATGCCAGCTGGAAGGGAGATGGGCCTGTATTTCTGCAGCTTTTAACCTGGTTTTTTCCCCCTTTTTCTTACCCTTGTACAGGTTTGCAGCCAAACTAATTGCCGGTGTGCTGGATTTCAAAGCCAAGATTGACCAGTGAGTAGATTGATTTGGATCAACTGGCCAAGCGCAGGGATGTCCCTGCAGATTGAAATCCCCTGGGCAAAGCTGGAGTACAGATTCTATCCCCCGTGGAAGTTGGAAGGGGAAGTGGGGAGAAAATGGGGTCATCCTTGGGAAAGCATGAATGAGTCAAAAGTGGCAAATGGCCCCAGGTGTGGCTGGGGTTCCCCAGGCACAAGGAGACCAGGTTTCATGGCTATCTCTGCTCCTGGGTGGATAGAAGGGCAGAGTGGGAAGAAGGCAGTAGCTGGCAGAGGCATAAAGTCATAGTTCCCCACTTTTTCTCTACTCCTAAATGGACTACCTCAGCAGTGGAGGTGCTTCTGTTTTCCAAACTCTGACCTTCTGGCTTACCTGTGCAAGTGGAGGACCAGTCAAGCCCTCCAGACCAGATCCACTTCTCCTTCCAGATCAGATCCACTTCTAGACCAGATCCACTTCTCCTTCCACACCAGATCCATTTCTCCTTCCACACCAGATCCATTTCTCCTTCCACACCACATCCACTTCTCCTTCCATACAACATCCACTTCTCCTTCCATACCACATCCACTTCTCCTTCCACACCAGATCAACTTCTCCCCAATTCTCCTTCCATGACTGCCCAGAGGGCCAGAGTGTGCAGTGGTGAAGGTCAGTCCCAGCTTAACCATTAAGCAAAATAAGCCTGTGCTTAAGGCCCCAAGAGAAGGGGGCACCACAGAATATTTTTCCCTTGAGATATCATGCCCTTAACTCTTTTACTGCTACGCTTCAACTTTAGCCAAAGTTTTTGGAAATGTCCTTTGACTTTAACCTGCCTTGCTAAAAACATGTTTGCTTTGGCACAATGAGTGACCAGACTTTAAAAGTTTGCTTTGAAGGTGTTGTCAATGTTGCTTTTGTTTCCATCTCATGGCGTGAGAGTTTCATTTCCGTCAAGGGGCACTGTGGTTGGGCTGTGCTTAGGGCATTGGTTGGTGAAGGTGCTAGACTAGGAGTGGTTCTTGTCCCCTCTGAGCCACCCAAGCTCCTTGGGGGGCTTTGGGCCACTCCATCTTGGAGTGCAGGATGGTTGATTTGGGGGAAAATTGGATTCTATGACCTGCCTTCAGCTGCTGGATGAAAAGTGGGATACAAGGCTATCAGAAATCAATATGCAAGAACACCCACAGCTTTCTTGTGGAATGAAATCTAAAGAACACTGATTTGCTTACCCTTTTGTTTCCTCTCCCACGGCAGCCAGACCCTGCTAGTTGAGTATTCCCACGGCCATCCGCTCAGCACGGACTGCTATTCTCGCCTCTTTGCCTCCTGCCGACTCCCTGGGCGAAAACGCGATTCTATTTTACTGCCTCCACCTGGACGGAAACCCCCCAATTATATTACCGTTGTTCGCAACTTCCAGGTAACCTTATTCATCTTGGCCCAACCACCAGTCCCTGGATCTGTTGAAAGCAGTTCTCAGGGCCTGAATAAGACCCCAAACTTTGCTGCCTAGATCAGAAGAGAGACAAAGTATTGTCCCACATTCAGGGAAGTAGAATCTGTAATGGATTGTGGGAAAGACCTTGGGAGACTGGGCCCAGAGACGCTCCCTAGGGAACGGTCAGATAAGAGAGAGTATAGCCCGCAGCTGGATAGTGGGCAGGGCAAGAGGGTCAGAAGGGACCCTCCCTAGTTTCTCAGGCTGTAAAGGAGACGGCAGGAGAATTGTACCTTCAGACTTGCAAGATTCTGTTAATGTAGCTTTACAGTAAAGTAGTATGAGTTCATCTGGTCATGTTTCCTATCTGGTCTACCTGGGAAGGCTGACAGAAACACTGCAGTAAGGCATATCAGGGCCATAGGATTGGAGGCAATATGCTAAGGTCCAGGAATGCAAAGAACTGTGGCCCCCTATCCTTTCAGAGACCTTTATGGTAGGTGGCCCTAGAGGGAAGATAGTGCCATTCAGTGCCTTTGAAGGCCCATTCTAGATTCTTAGGGTTTCTGGAAGGGTGTGATCCCCAAAATATTTGGGTACTTGCTCGATGAAACCAGAAGCGAACAGCTCCTTGGTAAGATGGAGTGCCCCTCACTTCTCTGCCTGTTCCGTTCCTTTCTCAGTTCTTCCGGCTCGAAGTGTACAACAGCGATGGGACACCCCTGACCATTGACCAGCTCTATTTGCAGCTCCTGAAAATCCGCTCCCTTTCTTGGAAGTTGGATAAAGAGCCCTTGGGAGTCCTCACCAGTGACCACCGACATACCTGGGGAGAGGCCTTCACTACTCTCATGAAAGGTGGGAAGCCGAGTTTTGGGAGGGAGAAGGATTGATAGTACGGGCAACCATAGATCTTGTACAAGGGGGGGCACTGAAGCCTCTGCTTCATGCAGGAATCCAGATTAAAGAATCCATGTTAGATAGCTGTTCAAGTCTCCGCTTCAACACATCCAGTGAAGGGGAGCCCTGCCTCTCAAGATGAACTGCCAAATTGCTCCTAATTTTATTTTCTTGCCATTCCCCAGTGGCTGGATCCAGATGTAAACAAATGGCTTCTTTTAAGCCCATTAAGGGTTGCATTTAAATACCTGCTCTATAGCCTACTCTAACCTGGTACTCTCTAAATTAGTGTTTCTCAACCTCAGCAACATTAAGACGTGTGGACTTCAACTCCCTGGCTGGGGAATTCTGGGAGTTGAAGTCCACACGTCTTAATGTTGCTGAGGTTGAGAAATATTGCTCTAAATGCATTGGGACTGCAGTGGCTGAATCTTTGGGAAATACAATCTCAGCTCAGTGGAAGGGCACCAGGTTGGGGTTGCCTGACTTAAGCCAGAAATAAATCCAGCTGGGTTCCTGAGCAGAAAACAGTGGTTTCTTTTCACATTCATTGAACTTTTGCTGAGCCAGGTGTGGGGAAAGGGGATTCCACCTCTTTCCAGCCTTCTGACTGTAAAGTGACAAGCAAGTCAGTTGGGTATCTTTCAATGCATGCAAGGTTTACTTGGTTAGGCCTACGGCTGGAGGATTATGATAATTGCAGTTCAAAATATCTGGAGAATACCAGACTGGAAGGTTGTTGTATCTGGTACCCCAGAGAGGCTCCATGTGGACCCTAGAAGCTCCCTAGATGATTGATTGATTGATTGACTTTGACACCGCCCAACTCCAATTGACCCTGGGTGGTTCATAGAAGAAAAACAAACAATGTACAACCCAGATTAAAAAAAAAAAAAAAAAAGCAAGGAACAAGATGGTGGATCTGGCCAACAGCAACATGCATACAAGATGGAGTTTGAAAATGGGCTGGATCTGGCTGGGGTCTGCAAAGAAAATATCCCGCCCCCCACTTCTCTTTCAGCCCTAGGAAGGAGGCAATGGCCAACCACTTCTGAAATCTTGCTGAGAAAACTGCAGGGACTGGTCCCAGCAATTGCCAGGAATCAACACTGACTCGAAGGCACCAAAATAAATAAATAAATAAATAAAATTTTAGAAGTGCCCCAATTACAGGAGGAACAGCAGAACAGCAGCACAGAATGCTGTAGGCTGCTCAGTTTCTAAGCCCCCCTCCCACTTGTCTCCCAGTCACATGACCCAGAGCAGAGCCCACCCTGTGCTTCTGGGTGCACGCAGACATTCTGCCCAGAGTCATACATCGAGAAGGGCAGCTATATAAATTTGAATAATAAATAAAAATAAATATGCCCACGACATATTTAAGGAAAGGAAACCGCGTTAAACGTTTGATGGGAGAGTAGTCATATTAACTATAGGTTCAGTTCAGTTTAGTTTAATTTAAATTAAATTTAAATGAAAAAAGAAGGAGATCAGGTTAAATTTGTGTGCAGATGGCACCCCCTTTTCAGACCCATCCCCCGGGAAAATGTGTTTGATCTTTGTCCTGTGCTACAGCATAACCACATCTGGGATTAAATCTGGCATTTCTTCTCTTGCTCCAGACAAGCTGAACCAGGAATCAGCTCTCACGATCCAACGTAGCCTCTTCACTGTCTGCCTGGATGCTCCTATTCTGAAGGTGTCAGACGCTCACGTCAAAAGTCGCTTGGCAGCTCAAATGCTGCATGGCGGGGGGAGCTACTCCAACAGCGGCAATCGCTGGTTTGACAAGACGCTGCAGGTGAGAATAAAACAGGACGTGAATTAGGCTTGAATTTGGAAGCGTAAGGAGATGTGATCGTCAGCTGTATGAGTAATTAAGCCAGGATAATCGATATTGTGCCATTTCACATAAAGAAATTTAAGAATGAAGCATCTCAGAAAACTTGCAGCATGGCTGGCTGGGGAATTCTGGGAATTGAAGTCCACCCTAAAGTTCCCCAGGTTGAGAAACACTGTCCTAGATGCAACTGGGTTGAACGTGCTCAATCATTGGCAACCTTGTGCTGTCAAATGCTGGACTGTGCCTCCCATCATCCCTGAAATTTGGTGATGTGGGCAAAGGTGAGGGTTGTCATTTAGGGATCCCAGAAGGGGGAAAGTTTGACTAAGTCAGAGTTGGTCTTGGCAGACAAAGTTTTTTTTTTTTAATCTGCGAGAACATTCAATAGTACAGTTTCCAGTTCTGTTCAGATTCAAGCTCGGCTTAGCCTTTCTGATTTGCATTCCGTTTTCCGAGCATGGTGCGTGTTTGTGGAGCACAAGGGAGTTGTTTTTCTGGATGTCTTAAATTTATTCTAAGGAGAACCCAAGGATGTTAAAACAGAGAAAACCCGGGTGCTGTTTTTAGAATGGTTTGCATCTTGGCAAGCGTTTGCTTTTGGCTTAATGATATTTGCTTATCTATTATTTGAATTGGGGATAAGCATCATTCTGTTTCCCGTTTTGGGGAGACAGAGAAGGAAGTAGTGAAGAGACGCTAAAAGAAAAAAAAGCAATTCCTTGGGAAACAATTAACTTTTCTCCGAATTAATGGAGAATACCTGGAAATTAGATTTGTCTTTGTCCCCTAGTTGGCAGAACAATCATGTTTATTTTTTTGTACCAACCTAACAAATGGCTCTTTTATTTAATTTTACATTATCCTCCTTCTGAAAGTTATGGTTTCTACTTCTGCATTTCTGGAGAAATCTAGGGCGACGGCTGTGACAGTGGGGAGCGGGGGCTGCAGAGTTTGCCTTTTTCTTACAAACTTTTTGGGGTTTTTTTATTTTGTTTGTTTAATGATTTAAGACAGCTCTATGGCTACCTAACGAGCAGTAACTTTGGCTGGTGTATGGTCAGCAACCAACAAGTAAATAGGGAGTCCCCAGCTTAAGACACAGTTCCATTCCCCAGGTCTGTCCTTAAGTCAAATTTGTATGTAAGCCGGAACAGTATTATACTATAATACTGTATAAGTAGTATTGTGTAATGAACATGAACCCTTGTGTATTTAACTCGAATTATGGTGTATTTAACTCGAATTTTGCTACAGTAGGCTCCATTCTTAACTATGGGTTGTCCATAAACCGGGTATTCTTTACTCAGGGACTACCTGTACATTTAAAAATTGTGTTTGGAAGTATACATTATTTTATTCTGTTGTTTATAATCCAAAATATGAGAGAGAGAGGGGGAGAGAATGAGAATTGTCTAGATGGAACCAGCTTTTTAACTTTATCTTTTAAGTGCCTAATAAACCATTTCTTTTCCTTCTTCCCACTCATTCTTTTCGCCTGGCCCTCAGTTCATTATCGGAGAAGATGGCACCTGTGGAGTCCTTTATGAACAAGCCATCGCTGAGGGGCCCCTGATTGCCACTGTCATCGACTACGTCCTTGATTACTGGTAATGCCCCGTGGGGGAGAAGATGACGCTGTGGGGCGACCCTGACTGGACTCCCGTGGGCAGATTTCAGACCGGTTCTGCAAAAAGCATTTAGAGATGCCGCTCTGAACTAAGTAGCCATGGCGAGCGATACTAAGCTCTAGTCCCCCCCCGCCCCATAGGTGCATGTGGGAAAATGAAAAGAATAAAAAAACAAACCTGCTTTGTTTGCAGTGGGGAGATGCTTGAGGACCCATAAAAACTGGGATTCATTTCGGAGCGTTCACCCTTGTTCGCGTCGAGTGGCGAAAAAAGCTTTTGACGTTTTGAGACGACAAATGGTTTAGTTAGCCCTTCGTATGCTCCCAGTAATTAGGGGTGTCTACCAGGCAGGTGGGATGTCAAAAAAGTCAAGATGGTGGCCATGACTGCATGGTGGAAACTCCACCCCTTTTTTACATGCATCGTGGCCACCATCTTGACTTGCTTGAACCCCCCCCCCGCCCATTGTGGATGCCCCTGCTAATACCATAGGC